GACTCCACTGTCACATCTTTGTCCAAAGCTGATGTAGCTGCTTCAGGAGCTACTTCCACATGCTTTGTATGATTTGCATGGCCCTACTAAATAAAAACACCAAACAAATGGGATGTTTTTTTAAGTAGGAACTGAATTTTTCATAGTTTCCTCGTTCTTCATAATAATTATTGATTTGATTTTTTAAAAACTCTGCATAATTTCAGCCTACAAGCTATGGCTAACTTCATTTTTCACATGATATTCTTATTGGGAGTGGGCAGTATTTGAATTCAAAGGCAAGAAAAGGCCTTGGAAATATATGGTGATGCAAACATAATACCTGTCTGCAACTCCTTGAAGCAGCCAAGCCTTTCCTATGATCATATGGCTGTCCTCCACAATTGCTACATGATCCTAGGAAAATGTGTATGGTTTAAGGAGCTGCAGTGAGGGGCTAAATTAGCATGCTGCGACACATCTTTTTGCCTTTACATAAATTGGAATTCAGTGTTACTTCTCAACATTTCCTTATAATTAACGTATTTACCTACTGTATACATTCTCATTCTCTATGTAAATAACAGTAAGATAGGCTTGTACTGTTATGACAAAAAGCGCATCAAATTTCAATTAATTACAAATCTTAAGTACAAGATTTACAAATAATACTTAATGAGGGAGGGAAAATCCAAATAAATGCAGTAGGACATGCTTTTCAACAGATATGCCTAGAATCACACTATAAAAGAAAGCTTTTTTTCCCCCTCGGAACTCTTTTGTTGGACTCTGTCATGGTGTTTGAACATTAATTCCTGAAAAGTAAGGAATCATCAGTGAGAGTAGTAATAGTATGGACTCCTATTGGACTTCTTGCTATAGGAAGGAATTGAACATCAATAGTTCCTATCTAGAGCTGCAGTTAGAGAAGTAAAAGATAGATAGTTGCATTAAAATATAAACAATATTAAGGTGGCAGTAAAAAGTAAAACAGAATACAAGGGTAGAGAATCCTGGCTGTAACTCAATGGCAAGCACCCCATTTCCATGAAGAAGGTCCCAGCTTCAATCTTTGGCATCTATAGGTAAGCTTAGAATAGATCCAGCCTTAAATCCTGCAGAGCCACTGCCAGGCCTGGTGCCCCCAAAAGACTAACCATAATGTGGCTTGTTTGTTTCTGTCTCAGCGTGTTGTCTGCACCCAGCTACAGTGGTTTATTCAAGCTGCAGCTTAGCATGAGGTGTGAACCAAGCTTGTGACAACAATACTAGGCTTAGATGGACAGGAGATCTGAGTCAATATAAGGCAACTTCTTAGGGTCCTAAGAGTTCAAACAACCTTAGAAGATCTATTAAAGTGTTCCCTTTCACACAATTAACAACGACATGACAGAAAAAGCTCACATCACTACTCATATTTCAGGGTGTACCCATTCAATAGGACTGTGAAAAGCATTAGAAAGGAATGTTTCACAAAATGCATTAGCACAAACAGAGGATCCCTTCTTCAAGTGTCAAAGCATCCACATCCTTTAAAATGTTCATGTAGCTTCTTCAAAGGCTACCCTTCTAAGCTGTTGGCACGTGCATGCTTAGACCATACTTTCACTGGAACCACCAGCACATTAGAATAGGTGTGTATCGCCACACATGTGCACAGATAGCTGAGGGCACCCTTTGTAGTAGTTGCACAAGCCTTCTGAAGGACATGATTATTTTCATATTTTGAGGAAGGAAATGTCATTGATATTAACATGCTTCCCAAAGTACCCCTTTTAAATACTTGGCACAGCCTTGTTCCTCACTGAGGAGGCTTTCCTTATATTGCCTTATATATATCATAGGGCTTGGGGGAGCCTTTACAGAAAAACAAGTCTCCATCTACAAATACTTCCTCTCTCACATGCTTCTCTCTCTCTCTTTCAAGGCAAAGTCAATTACCAAAGGTAGTCTTCTTATTCTACTAGATCTCTGGTTCCGTGGTTTTACTGAAAGCTTGTGCTTAGCAGCAGAATTGTCCAAGCAAGAGGATAATTCCGGAAGAGTATCAAAATCACCAGGAGGCAAACAGCTGCTATGAAATGTTTGTTGAGTTATAATTTTAGCTCTTGACTGATGGGAGAACAGCTGACTTTCTGTAGAACAGGATCTTGAAGGACTTTTTGTGACCTAAACAAAAACCCCCACAAAGGGGGTGGGGGAGAAAGTAGCGTCAAAACAAATCAATAAGAATTTTAAAAGAAGACAAAATAAAACCAGGAAGTTCCTAAGTGATGTTAAATACTTATTTCATCATTGTTAGAATTAACACTGCCTATCAAATTATCCATTGTTTGTTTATATCTGTTTACATTTTTTTTCTGTAGGCAGAGGTTAATCTTCCTATTTTATTTATTTATTTAAAAGATTTATATGGCTGTCCATCTTGTAAAACACAACAGTGGGTGACTCACAATAATAAAACTAAAAACAGGAAAAACAAGAAAACCAGGCCCCTAACCCATCATCTACTTTGCAACTTGTTGACACAGAACTGTTAAATCTCCAGTTTTGCTACAGCAAAACAACAAATAGTCATATTGTACATTAAAAAGTAAAAGTTATAATATCGCACTAGAAAGTAGGATGAAAAAAGGTAGGTCATAATAGATTTTTCATCCTGAATGTCACAATACTTTTTTACATAGAACAATTGTGGGGAAGCCTTAATCCCCCAGATGATGCAAATGGCAATTGCCACATTCAGTGATGTTAGTTGCAGTTCTGAGAATTGTAGTTAGCAGTGTGTGGAAGGTCACAGGTTTGCCCTCTTTATGTTACAACACCTTTCTAAGCTTATGTGTGCAAATCAGGATGCACAAATATGTAATAAGCAACTTTCTAATTTCTATGAATATGGACTTAAAGATTTATTGCAGGAAATGTTCCAAAATATACACAGAGAATATACAAAATATACAAACTCTAGCGGTCATTTTAGGAAGAAATGACTCTTATATGAACTATTGCCACCAAAAATTGCCACGTCTAATATGATGTGGAAGATAGGCCTATGAAGGCTGTTCCATGATATGACAATTGCACATGTGGAGTTTCTATAGTCATGTTGCTTGTGATACTCAATGCTTCTTTTCTTCCTTCTTTTAGGAAACTGAAAAATGGTTTGTTTAGTAACTTATCATCAAAGCAGATCTGAAGTTTAGCAAAAGAAACAATGGTCTGTGCTCCATATTTCAGAACAATGGATAGTAGAGCCAATTGTTTAAAAAAGAATGTTAATCATTGTTACAGTACTCTTTAACAAGGCCTACGCAGAAAATATTCACTTGGGAAAGAAAAACAATAAGTACTTCCTTTGTGTATTATTTCCTTTCTTCTGTTTCTGTAGGGGAAAAAGTACTCCACATTGTCCCTTCCATCTCCCACATGTCTATAAGGTCTCTAACTCTTCTCCAGCTGAGCAAATAAATAGGGTTCTTCAAGAGGCTGCTAAAGCCATTCTTCAGTCTGTTGGTTACATGTGCTGCTGATTGAAGAGAGGCAGCCATCTTGTCAAACAGAGCTTTGGGAAGGAGAGTAACAGCCACACCCATGCTGTCAAACAGAATAGCCATAGCCTTCATCAGCAAAGCAGTTGCACTTTGGATCGTTAAGGGGGAATTGTGGCTGATCAATTAGAGAAGAATAAAAGGACTAATCAAAAGACCTTGGAGATAATGTTAATCTTTGTACCTGTTCAAAAGTAACCTTTCAAGACAAGCTGAGGGAAGTTGTTTAAAAACTCCACACTTTTCCTTTTGGGTGACTGTCAGTTGAGCAAATAATACATGCCCACATTTGTTTCTAGTTCATTTCTTCCTTAATAGTGTTTGAAAGAAAAATAGATGACAATAGGTGTTAATGCAGCCAACGACATCCTTCATTAATATTTGTTAACAAAAGTGTTGCAACCTCTCCCTGCAACTTTTATGAGAATTCAGGAATCCTGTGAGATATTACAGCATTGTCATTAAGTATAGATACAATTAAATTACCTGTTCTTCTTCTTCACTGCCTGTTCCAGCTAAACTCAAAGAGCTATGATGCTTGTGAGAGTCAGAAAACTGTGGAGTGGAATGAGGAAAAATTTCAGTAATAAATGATAATATGAAATGAAATATAAACAAAAACTACAGTACCTGCTATACCAGTGTTTTTCAAACTTGGCAACTTTAAGATGTGTGGATTTCAACTCCCAGAATTCCCCAGCCATGCTGTACTATACAAACACTGTACTATACAAACATCACACAGGCAACAATAATGTTTCTATAGAGCTCTAAGAATTAGGAAAAATCTATAAAGATGAAGATGGAGGAGGTTGTTTTTAGAAGAAAGCTGACCATATTTTCTAGTATTTATGTAGCTTTTTTTTTTTTTTAATCAGACTAAAGGACTTTCACCACTGTGGAACTGGAGTGTTCTCCACCCAGCCTTGAGTCAATCCCTCTCCTGTTTATTGTTTCTGTTCCCAGCCACTACAGTCATCTGATTTTTCTCAAAGGTAATGGGTAGCAAAGCCTAACAGATGTTATGTACCTTAAAGCTGTCCTTTGATGTGTCAGAAGAAGGGAGAAAACACTACTTTAACATTGGTACAGTTCAGACAAGGCCTGTCTCACTCATGTACTGGAAATGAGATGAAGGCACCATTATGAGGAAACCACAGAAAAAAATGTTGCCAAGGCATGTTTGTGCCATGGTTAGGTGAATGTGGGGAAAGGCCTCCAGATCAGCTCTCATTTCCTTTCTACTTCATTTTTAAACTCCTTTGAAGCATTTCTTCCAGAACTGTATCACAGTCCAGAAGGAGGCCAAATAGATTTCTGACAAATCTGCTACAATAAACAAATGAAACTATTTCCTCTGTTATTTGAGATCATTCTAGGATATTCCATTTCTTACAGTTAAGTTTATGCATTTTTCAAAATAACTTTCTCTTAGCGTAACAGGATTTTATCTATAATACTCAAATATCTGGATATTTGTCTTTATTATAAACGTCTATCATTTACTACGAAGTGCAATTATGGTTTCAAATGACAAACACAATTCACAATTCTAAAATGCTTTTCCCAATTAATCCTACCTTTGATGTATTGGGATTTAGAATTTCTTGTAGCAAATATGTTTCTGGTGGACTTCTGGGTAACCCATCATCTTCTGAACTCATTCCAGCATCCTCTTGTCTTTTTGAAGGACTTCCAAATGGAGAAGAGAGACCTAGCTTCCAGTTTTGCTGGAGTTTCACCTACAATGCCAAATGTCAAGTTTTAATATATTTCTTATATTACTAAAAGAACAGAGTGGCAGTATTTGCTCTCATGGAAAAAAAGATGATGTAATTACCCGCTGTTCCCAACACCACAAGGCTTTCTTTTTGTGCCCAGCAGGACGATGCATACGGCTTATGTCGTTTTATTCAATCTCCTGCGCTTTACCTTATTTGACTATATACAAGGAGAATGTGATTCTATACAATGCTTACTTACTGTTGTGACCCATTTTTACTGAATTCTGTTGTCAAGGTTACCAATAATAAACAAAACAATGTTGATCCTGCCAAAGTCAAGGGAGTTTAGTAGCAGAAAGATGAACAAGCAATTGTATTCTGCTCACATTCTACATTTCTTCATACTAATTACTAACTAAAGAAGGGCAGGATTGTTTGCTCCACAACTATGCACTAAATGAGCACATCCTTACTGCATGGGCCCAAAAGGTACATTCTGGCTTTCATTATAGATCATGTGATACAGTATAACCAACCAGTTCACCTTGATATTCAAGTTCCTTTAGATTACTAAATGCTCCATGACATTAATTTAGAGAAACTCTTTTGCAAATGTTTCTGTTCATTCACCTGTTGATTAATGCCTCATATATATTAAGATCACATGGGAAATAAAGAAATCTGTAATCATACCAGAAATGAAAGAATCTGGAAATAATGGAAACAAATTATTTCAGCAGTATTACCTGCAAAGCCCTAATTCGATCAGAAACATTTTCCTGAGAAAATACTCGGACTGGTCTAGGTGGTTCTTGTGGAGTCTCAGAAATGAAAATGCTGTCATGTGACAAAGCTCTGTTTCCCATAATAGTTCTGTGCATCCTAGGAGAACATGGAAAGCTAATAAAAGAATACATATTTAAACCTGAATTTTCTTTCCAAGTAATGAAGTCTATTTGCAATGCAAGTTTGAGTAGGAATGTAATAAGGGAAGGAATGCCTGAAGAAAGATGCTCAGCTATAAGGGTATCTGATGTTGTATTTGGGTCATCATAATTTTAGGCATAGACGCATCACTTTTGAATACTAGGTCCACTAGGGATCTAGATGCTCTCGGTAGAACAAAATATGATCCCATACTTTAGTTAGAAGGATCTAACCAACAAATTAACTGATGAATAATTTTGGGTCCAGTCCTAAGAGATGTCCAACAAGTTTGCAGAAATGAAAAGGATTCTAAGGGACACATCTCCAGCCAAGGTCTGCAATTCTTCAGGCAGCCTTAGTCCAGCCAGTTCCAAGCTGAAGTTGTAGGCACCAAATACTTGTCAGCCCCACCAGGTAGACCAGACCAGGAAATCAACTCCACAGGAATGCTAAAACTACTTTTATTGAGACTGGCTATAATAACAGAATCTTGCAAGTCTGATTGTGCTGTACTTCCTCCTTCTTATAGTCCAGTGAATTGGGGAGGTGCCTGTCTGAACTGCTTCTGAATAGTATCTCATTCTGGACTTAAAAAGTGCCTCAGCCCTTTTTGCCTAGGTAATGGTTCCTGCATATCTCCATCAAGGTCATCTTCCTTATTCTCTACACCAACCAAGACTCTTTATTGGTGAGAACCAAAAGAGCATTCCTCTTTATTAAACTTTATTAAAAGTTTATCACCACCAGTTATTCTACACTAACTGCAAACCTATGATTCTCTCCCACAGTTAAGCCAGTTCTTGAGAAGTCTCTATTTTGTGACTACTTGGATAATGTTGTTCTTAAAAAAACAGGTTTTTATAGATAATCATTATGTAATAAATGTGTCAAATGTTTTTCTATGGGTTACTACATCTGTTGCAAGGGATAATTTTGTCCTAACAAAGGGAATATAATTTTCTTACAAAGATAATACCTAGGCACTCAGAATAGCCCAAAGCCTTGTTTCATAACAAAAAATTAGGGGAAAAGTAGCAGAATGTTCCTTATATTAATTGTAATATTGCCAAAGGCAAGTATGAACATTTATGCCTTTGCCAATGGTGTATGTTAATTTATATTATCCTTCCAAATATTAGGACTTAAAATTAAACATTTCTTCTTTAAATAAAGATGCTATAGTAATGAGCAGAAGAAAGACAAACTGATAAATAGGAACAATGAGGTTCTCCTAACATCTGCTACAAATACATTCAGTAAAAGTGGCAAAATAAGATTAACCTTCCTCAATCTAGTGCCTTCCATATTTATTGAACTATAACTTCCACAGCTCTTATTTATACTGCATGAGGACAAGTTTCCAGAATTATTATATAAGCCTTTCTGTACATTGACTTTGAAGTCATTTCAACAGTAGTACAAACAGGAAACAAAACCATTATGATTTTGTACTATAGCACCCTCTAATGGCAACATTGAGTAAAGCATTTATTAGCATTATCAGAGAACATTCTGGGACATTTACTTATTTTATTTATTTAATAAAATTAATTTTCCCAGGATAGCTTACAAAGGTGAAAATCATCACATAGCCTTAAAATATTCTAAAATAGTAATTAAAATGCTATATACCACACATATAAACAACAGAGCTATGCTGCACTTCAGATCCAAAACTGAAAAGCTGCTTTGGAGTAGGGCATGTGTACACACCCTGCACCCCTTGGTGCCTTCTTAAGGAAGCTGAATCTTTTCCTGGGATCACAGATAATTCCAGGAAAGTATGCATTGAAATTAAAGAGGCACAGGCAAGGTCAGAGCAAGTATGGACATGCTGTCAGGGTCTGCTTAACTCAAATGTATTTTCCTGGGATTGCAGATTGCAGAAGCAAGTTGTTTATGGAGCCTGCTCCAAAGCACCTTTTCAGTTTTGGTTCTGAAGCGTAGCACGTCCTTAATAAATCATAAAACCAAACAGCTGACTGATTGATTGAAAAGCTTCCATGCAAGACATGAAAGGGGGAAAGTATTATTCTCCCACATAATATTGGGATGGCAAAAAGAGGTTGCCTGGTGCTGGAAGGATAATGAAGTGTGTGCCCGATATACTTCACTGGCAAGGGTATTCAGAATTCTGGGGCTATCACTAAGAATGCCTGTTTCTAACACTGCTTGCTGCACTCCAGCATAAATGGGTATCAGAACATCTTTCTCATGATGTCTTTATAACAGCTTCCAGAGGGGTACCTTAAATATTCAACAAATGAAACATTCGTACACAGGATTAAGATTCTCTTGGGGGATAACTCTTAAGAAATAACCTTGCTTTTCAGGTAACAACAACAACAACAAAAACAACTTGCTTTGCGAAGAAGGAAAATGTAAGCATTTGACTTACTTCAGATCATCTTCAGAATCATAATCAATATGCCCAGATTGTGTGGCTGTGATATCAATTGCAGACTGACATATGTTGATATTACCACTTCCTGAAGATGCTAATGTTTCTTTCCTTTTTCTTTTCCCAAAGAACTTTTTAATAGATTTAAACTTTGACTTCTTCTTTCCTGGGTGAATAGGTATTAATGAACCATAATTACTTTTAGCCAATGTTTTCAAAGAGAAATATTTTTTTCCCTTCCTAGTGTTTTTCCCACAGGTGCAGAAACTGCTTTTTTTGTATCAACCAAATGTTGATCCATTGGTTGCAACAGGAAGTTACTGACCAGCTTGTCACCCAAGCCTAACGTTGTGGGCTGAGAGTGAGTGACTGGCCCAAAGTTATCCAGCTGGTTTTCATGCTTAAGGCAGGACTAGAACTCACAGTCTCCTGGTTTTTAGCCTGGTGCCTTAACTACTAGACCAAACTGGCTCTCTTTCAAAGAGAAACAATATCAGAACAAAATGATATGAGGATTGTTTTCCAGCTTGGGCAATTCCTCAATTCTTATTCCTAAAAGTGACTGCAGCTTTCATGGAAAGAGAAAGAGATGTGAAAATAGGAACCAGAAATTAATGAAACTTGAAGAAAATTAACCTGATTTTTCAAAATTGATCACCTAACCTACAAATATAATTCTGGTTTTAAATTAGAGGAATAGATAATCAGTCTAACCTTACTTGAAATTGCTAAACATCCAATCCAAGCTTAGGGAATGTCTGAATTTATCCATAATAATCTTAAGTGTAAGCCTCAGAATAAGTACTGTTTTACTATAGAGGACTACAAATATAGGAAGTCTTTTCTTTAAGAAGCTAGGGTGCTATATTTCTTCCACATAATGTAGCTACATTTTCCTTTAAGTATGATCCAGTGAATTCAGTGGGTCTTCCTTTTCAATAGAATATCCATAGGATTTAACTGTCAGCCAATAAAGCTATGATTGTTTTTATTTAAATTTTTTTCTGTTATTATTTGGGCACTAAGTGAAAAGTGTGTTTCTAAGTAGTTAAAAAATCCAGAGATATCATCTTTATCTTAAAAAAAAGTAAGATAATGCTATTCACAAATATGAACACACAAAAACACATAGCTTTTCCTTTAGAATAATTTCTATTCAAATACAAATCATACAATAGATTGATTAGCTATGTACATTTTCACTGACATTGAATTGAGATTAAATTGGATAATTGTCCTAAAATAAACAGGGTTCCTATTCTGCAAGGCTAACAGAATTGGTAGTAGTTATCGAAATTTTCTCAAACATAACTAAAATTAGACATTTACCTGAAGCTTCCTCCCCAAATCCGTCTGCTTCCTGAAACTTGGTATCCATTGTCCTTGTGAAATTCATATATTGTAATAGTCTCTAACATGGAAAAATAAAAAGTAATATTTTAACTAATTGAAAGTTGAATGCATGTTTTTTATTGACCCTTCCTACTTCTTACTCCTGACCATACTCACTTTATCAAGTATGAACCCTACTCAGGGTGTCTCATTCAGTGGCCAAATCCTGGTCACGTTTTTAAATTTTTTTTTTAAGTAGGAATAATCCTCCCACCCAGTTTTAAAAAAGGCTGGGTGGGAGGATTATTAAAAAGGTGTCAATATGGAAGCATTTTAATACAATACTGCTTAGGTTAAGGTATTTGACACTGTTTGTCTTCATAGCTGAACATTTTAACATACGAACTAATTAACCCCTGAAAGACATCACTACTCAACACTGTTTGAGAAACTGCGTGTTTTGTTTACTTGCTACCTCTTAAAGCCCTTCACAAGATTTAATAAGTTGGTTGACCATTTTATTAGGGGTGACTGCAAGACTCTGGGGAAGTTTGAAAATCTCTTAAGTGTCTCTGCTCATTTCTGCCTCACATATACAAATACATTTGTATTGTATTTGTATTGTACATCTGCCTTCATTTTTGTAAGATTTTAGATGTAATAGGTCTTGCAGCCACTATGTATACTCCGTGGAGGGGACTGAATACATTATGTCATTTTGTAAGATGTAAAAATTAAATTCTGTTCTAAATGGGTTCATATTCCCATTTCCTTATCACTTTTTTCCTGTCCTGCTGCAGACAGATACAGTATTTTCTCCTTGCATCTTGCTCCTGTTTTCATTCATTCATTCATTCATTCATTCATTCATTCATTCATTCATTCATTCATCCATTCAATTTGTATGTCGCCTATCTCCCCCAGAGGGTCACTCTGGGCATCTCACAGTTAGAAGACCCCCCGAAAACAATTAAAAAAATAAATACCCACATGAATTAATTAAAAGTCA